GAGGACGAGACATAAGCAACGTTCTCTTTTATTTCAATGGTAAATAGCCCGTCTACAAGTCGTCCAGTCATGATCACATCTTTCCCCTTCTTGACCACCACTTCTCCCTAATGAAAGTGGTTATGAATCCAGTCATATACATCTTAGGAATCGAAAGCAAGCATTTCCTCATATCAAGAGCATAAAGTGCTTGTTTTAGGATCAATGTGCTCCCACTCTTTAGTTTCAACTCAAAATCTCCAACTCCAATTACATCAGTCTTCTGATTTCCTCCCATATAAATATGTTGTTGTCCTGACCCCATAGGAGTGAAAGGACGGTAAACTTCCTTGGTGTTTGTGACATGGGTCATAGCTCCCGAGTCAAGACACCAAGAAGCTTCCTTGGGGTCAGCTAGTATAGACTCGAAAACTACACATGTCAATTCCTTGTTAGTTCCACTAAATTAGTTAAACCGACAACTATTGGCTATGTGGCTCACCTTCTTGCAAATAAAATAAGTTCGAGTCTCCCTCTTTGCTCCCTTATTTAAAAAATATCTTCTTTTGAAATATCTTTTCTTCTCAAAAATATTTCTTCTCATTCCTTTCTTAAATTTAAAAGATAGTTGAGATTTTACCATATACACAGCATCCCTTGGGGTTTGCCTTGAACTCCTCATTTCTTCTTCAGATTCGATGGTCGTGATAAGTTCCTCTAATTTTAGTGTCTTTCTTCTAGTAGAGATGGAAGATATGAAAGTCTCCCATGAATTAGAAGAGAATTCATTAAATGAATCACTTGCATAGATTCATTAGGCTTCAAGCCTGTATCTTCCAAATCTCTGACTAACGCATAAAACATGTGCACATGATATGCAAACTTGGTACTTTTTACCATTTTTAAATCATTGTACCTTCTCATAGCCATAGTTTGCTTCATGAGAGAGGGTTCAACATACTCTCTTTCAAGTTTATTAAAAATCTCACTTGCAGTATAGATTGATTCGTACTCATAAGCATACTAGTCAGTCATGGCACATAAAAGAATGTGCTTGTATCTCAAGTTCCTCCTCTTTCAGTTGGCGTACTCATCTTTAATTATTTGAGATGAGTCGTCAGTTGGACGATGAGGTCGGTCCTCAAAGAGTACCTCTCATGCAAGTTTTCTTCATAGAGCACAAATTTGATTTTTCTTTTTCATGAAGCAACGTTGGTCCCATCAAACCTTTCGATTTTCAAGATCTCAGAGATGAAGGTACGAGTAGCCATTATATTTATATTCTCAAGCAAAAAATAAGAAAAGATTCCTAATGGCAATTAAGTAAAACTAGCTCTGATACCAATGAAAAAAAGACCTATGTAATCTTTTGCCGGGGAAATACAATTTTTTTTTTTAAAATAATAATCACCTCATATAATTTTGGCAACAAGATCACTCACAGATGGTCTTATTACAAACAATAGAAATTCCAAAAATAAACAACATATCAATAAAATAAATCTCAACTACTTGATGCCATTCATATAACCTAATATTGTGCTTGAGAATATAAAATAAAAGAACAAACAATTAAAAGAAAAGATGTGGGCGATTACCTCAATCGGGCTTTTTACACCCCACATCGAGTCACCACATTCAATGGCACGGGATCAGCGGTCTAGCTTCAATCTTGAACCGAAAAAGCTAATTTAGGCCAAACTAGGTAACCACCCTTAAATCTCTACAAAACTCTAACTCCAAAATAATTAGGCTCAAACCCTAATTTTCCCAACCCTTAGATTAGATCTTGAGAGAGAGAGAGTCTTTATGTTGGGGCGTGCCCCCTAGGGTCTTTTTAAGAGAGAGAATAGAGAGAGAAAATCAGAGAGTAGAGAGAGAGGGCGTGTGTCACACCCCAAGAATTTACAATACTGTTATTCTTGAGATGTGACGGACAAAACAAATATACATCTATTGATAGGACAAATTTACAGTGGCGAGGTCTTACATAGTAAATAAAGAAAGCTAGCACAACAACAGTATCTTCCAAGGTTAATCTTGACTAGCACTCAAAA